TATATATATATATATATATATATAGTTTGCAGTCCCACTGCCCCAGCCACCAACATGGGATATAGGAATCATGGCCCTTTATTTCCAACCCTGAGTAGTGGAACCTCATCTATCTGGTTGGGACCTGGCCTGTAGTGTTGATAAATCAGGTAAAACCACCCACAACACAGGAATTAAATTCCAGATGAAGAGCAAACCTGTTCTGGATGAAGTGTGGTTCTCCCGCTAGGGTGCCAATCTTCTGTCGACACACCGATGATCTATGCAGATGCTTTCTATTTGGATAATGCCCTCACTGGCCCCTCCACTTTATCAATGTGGGATTCTAGTTATAAGTATGTTTTGGAAGTTAACATTTTTTAAAATCAAAAATGTATTTCCAATAATACTTACCTCCACTGACTCTCTCCCACCCTTCCTCCCCACTAAGAGCCAGTGTTAGAGTCTGGGGTTGAGTCAGTTTCAAAAAAGTGATAACATTATATGAATGAGGTGCTTATGTACAGTACCAAGATAGAGGGCACATTCACATATGTGGAGAGTGTAACGAGATAAATATTGCCAAGGGCAATTGAGTGGGATATAAAGGACTGGAGCAAGTGAGAAAAAATCCGACCAGTGCTTAGATGGACAAAGGAAAAAACCCTGTCAGTCGAGCAATAGCTATAAGTGTGAGTATAGATAAGTATGTTTTGGAAAACTATACCACAAACAAATAGGAGGTAAATATTACTGGAAATACATTTTTGATTTAAGAAAATGTTAACTTCCATTTTCTATAACTTTGTGCTATGTCTATTAGTTTGGTCTTCTTTGTAATAGAAGGATCAGCAGGATAAATCTTTAAATAATACTAAATTTTACTAAACTGACTGAGCTTAAGCTAAGAAATAAACAAAGTGATACAATATATAATACAAAATAAAAACAATCCATTTATTCACAAAGACAAAACACAGTGTGTGTGTGTGTGTACTTAATTTAGACACTGAATGATCATCTTTCATTGAACTCATAAACTGAGTAAATGGCTTTCTTTCCTCGTGATGTCTTTTGATTAACCAGCTTAATTAACATACCACATCATACTCTTTAAATGTAGTGCTTCTTATCTAAAAAGAAATGTATGATTTACCTATAGCAAGAGCATTATCTATATGACTGGTTATACTCATTTAACAGTGGGGAAGCTATAACCTAGAGATATCAGTGAAGGACACTGCTGTTGTGTACAGTGTTCTTGCACAGTATGCAGAATATGTATTATCTTCAGAAAACAAATCTTACTAGAATGAAATTTACTTAATGACTTCCTGAATTATGTGTTATGTTAAAAATGCATAAATTCAGAAAGTCTGAAAATTTTTGAACATTTCTACATTAAAAAGAGAAGGCAGAAAAATGCATGGTATGACTGCATACCACAGACACAAAGCAGCTTTTACAATTACCATTTTCTTGCTGCTGCATATGAAGTACTGTATAAGCCCATCAATGTTTCAGTATTTCAAGTTTTTTATCACTTATATTTTATTGTGAACTTGCTTCATAAGTAAATTTTTATTTTTGTTTTTTTCCATAATGATTAGAAATACCAGAAGCCTCCTTTCCGAGATGATAGCTACTTAGATCTCTTAAAAAAAACACAAGAAGTCCTTCAACAATTGCCAGCTGTGGGCACTAAAACAACTCTATGAATGGCGAGATAAGATATCCAGAGTAGAAGATGAAAGCACTGGGTTTGTATTTAAATAAACTTGTAATAATTTATACCTGGACATCCTTAAACATTATTATTGACTTTTAAATTGAAATCTCATTTTGTAAGTGTTGTGATCTGTGTTTAATTACACCTAACCAATAGTAATGTAGACTTAGTCCCTAGTGGTGTGTTTAAAGTGTGTCAGAAAATAATAAATTTAAATGAGATTTTAGATTTACTTCATTGGATTAATTCTGTATTAAAAACTCTTGTACAGTAGATGTCTTCATAAACATAATTTTCTTTAATTGCAAGCTTTTGGTTCATTTGCTAGACCTTTCAGTTGTTATACCTCTTGCCTACTGAAGGCCTCAACAAAGTTCAAAAGGTTACAATTAAAGAAAATTATTTTTCTCAAGAAATGTTGCATATAACAAGAAATTTATTGTTGCTTATAGTGACCTTTTTTAATACATATTTCAGTTTTGTAGGCCTAAAAGTAAGCCATTAGTGTATTTACTTTTTATGATGTTTTGTCTGAGGGTGACATTGACATGTTTGCTTTGAATGATATTTAAAATTAATGTTTGAAACTACCGTCACAAATATTTTTTTCTGTCTGTGTAGAAGGAAAAGTATCAGCATTTTGAAGGTAGTCAGAAGCAAAACATTTTGCCTCATTGTTAATTCATTACTTATGCGCTTGACATTCTTGTGAACATCCTGAATGTCCAATTACTCAAGTTACATGTTAATGTGTAAGACAAAATTATTTGTCAATGTTTATTTTCAATTTCAGTGGGAATAGGAGATGAATGCAATATTGAGAAAAGAAAGTTTATAAAAATCTAATTATTTAAGTTTGTAAGCTGTAAAGTCTTACATTCAGTAGTTCGTATCTGAAAATATGGAATACCGGTTTTTTTCGTGCTTGTTTTATTTTGAATAATCTGTGCTAACAAAATCTGTCCTACTTTAGGAGTTTTAGAACATTAAGATGAAGGAATAAGTATTTATGTTGGATTTAAGTAAGTATGGTACTTAAGAATTAAGTAAAACATATATAAAATCATGATAATCATTTAATTTTCAGAAGTATATCCCTTGTATATTTCAACTCGGACACTAAAAAAAGTTTCATTATTCTTCACCTATAGTTTACTTTTGTAGCCCTGATTAAGTGTTCTGGTTTAAATTCTTGAAAATAAACATATATGTTGTTTCAAATCACAGTTATTTATTAGAAGAAAAAGAGACAAAAATTAGTATTCACAAATAAATTTATTTAAAATCAAATCTCATAATCAAAATTAAAAACACTTGATATTATATGACTCACCCTGTCAGCCACCATAAAAACATTTATCTCAACTCAAGTTATCAAGTTTATTAGTTCATGTAACCTACATTTCAATATTTCTATAGCAAGAAAAAAAGAATTACCATATTGGATGTAACTAAGTCCTGTGTCAATATATAATACATTGTCCTTATGCCTAGCTTTCTTAGTAAAGTACTTTATCTAATATTTCTTTGATAATAATGAATGATATTGCTATATTTCTTTGTTCCAATAAAATAGAATGAGCCACAGCTAATTTGGTGTATTCCTTAGTAATCTGTATTTGATGTGTTCTATTTTGCTTACAGCCAAGGAATGTTTAGTTTGTTCAATGTATGATTTCGTACATGAACACAGAATTTCATAAATACTTCACTTTTTATTTTCTTCAGTCTGGTCTTTTCCTTAAAAAAAATGGGTATTTAATTAAATTAAATTATTTAAAAAACACTTCAAAATTATATTAATATTAGTCAAAGAATAATATGTAACAGTAACGTGTATAACTAATATCAATCAGTTTTGGTTTGTAATTAGATTTACTTAAATTCTGAAAATGTTTAGCTCTTATATATGGCTCAAAACCTCTATTAATAGTGACGTGATTTGAACATGACATCTCTTTTTGAATTTGAGCAAAGTCTAAGCATTTTATAAATCATAATTTTATATACACCTACTTCTTGTGAGAAGTGGTGACTATTTTGAATAGGAAAACAAACATTTTTCTGTTTTCTATACACTTCTTTTGTAACTTGATTTTCACTGTGAATTACTTTTACATTTAACAAAAAGGAAATTTTATTTTCAATGCCATATATAAACTGTATATTAGCATTGTGATTGTTTAAAAAATTATTATTATTCCTTTTGAGTATTTAACAGGAGTATTGGATGTAACATCTTTCTCAATGTAATATGTGTATATATATATATATATATATATATA